GTGTTTATGACCTCAGACAATAATGGCAAGTGGACAGATGCTCTACCTTCTGCAATTGCATGCAAAGGTGTCATGGAGGAGTGATGAAGCATTAGACGTGCTCGAGAAGTGGACCAGCGTGTTGCAGAGGGAACACCCCCAGGGAATTCGGACAGTGGGGAGGGGTGTTGGGGGGTATGATGTGTTTGGTGGTAGTATCCTGCTGGAGGTGGCAGAAATGATGGAGTATAATCCTTCAAACACATGGGGTGAAATGTGAGGACAAGGGAAACCCTACTGTTGAGCTGGGATGATGGAAGGGGAAGGGATAAGATAAGTGAGGAGAGATGGGTCAGACAAGTGAGGGTCATGTCAACCAGTTTCTTTATGGAATTGGGGTGGGTGGGCATGGTGGCGGGTGCAGAAGTAGAATCCTCAGCTGAAGCCACAGAAGCACTCCAATGGAAGGTGGAATTGCATATCCATGGTAAAGAAGCAGCAGCTTAGGCCAGAAACCTAGAAATTGTAGAACCCACATAAAACAGCAGAATGATGAATATAGGTGAAAAGAGACTGAACAGGGCAGGAGACCCGGGGGAAAGGTAGAGTCAAGATAGGAAGAAATAAGTTCAGTGGGTCAGAACTGGTCTGAAACAATGGAAATGCCAGGGCAATCCTGTTTGTAGATTTTGGAAGTAGGTTGTTTGGGGGATTGGGGACAGAAAATAAGCCTGGTGTTCTGGATTACTGGACAGTTGACATTGTCACTGTACAGCAACAAACATGGGGTGTATAACACCTACCCACTCCGAGAACTGCAGCAGTTCAAGAAGGCAGCTCACCATCACCTTCTTCAGTGCAAACAGAGAAAGACAAATGCTGGCCTAACTAGTAATGCTCACATTCCCCAAACAAATAAAACCAAAACAATGCCACTAATCAAGCCAAAAACATTCTGCTTCACTACACAATTGTGCAAAGTGGTGCATGAATTTCTGTACCAATGGGATTTCAGGTATGTAGGCCATATATCATGACTGGTGAATTGTATCATATACCACATCCCTTCAGCTATCTGCACTGACCAGACCGAACCAACCGATGCTTGCAAAAGTCAGAATGTAGCATCTAATGGTAAATGTTTGTGATTATCAACCGTGGTGGCCATTGTTCAGCAGATGCAAAGAATTAGACAAACAACCAATTAAGATCAACAATCAAGCTGCAATATGACTCACTTAATACTTTTAAAAGCTACATACATTCCTCCACAGGATCCAGTCCTCTGCAAACAAAATGAACATATCCTGGTATCTATTAAACAAATGCGGGGGGGGTTAACTGTTCGCTGGAGCATTCCCCATGGCATTAACTTGCAATGCAATCAAAAGTGGCAGTGTGAATATGAAATTGGTCAAGTGGCAGGGAGCACATAAAACATTGTTGTGAGCAGCGTTTTTCGGACAGAGGAAGGTATACATAGAGATATGCAAGGGATCAAATACTCATATGTTAATGAGTGAGATTTTGGTGCACAGGTTCAATTTTTCAGATGACAACACTTGGAAGTACTGTAATCTGTGAGAAAGATATTGAAATTTCAAGAGAACAGAGACAGACTAGTCAAACAGGCAGCCACTTGACAGATGAAGTCTAACTCAAACAAGCATATATTCTAACAGGAAGGCTGAAGAAAGGATTTATAAAGAAAACAGCGCAATGCCAAAAGTAGAGGGTATATGTAAATTGTACACAGTTGCAAGACATCTTGAAAAAACAGTTAAGGCAGCATTCAGGATCCTGGGTTTTGTAATTAGAGGCATAGTGCACAAAAGCAAGGATACTATGATGAACCCTGGTCTTCTAGAAGAATATGAAAGCATCAGAAAGGAATTTTAAAAAACAAAAAAAAAATTCAAAAATTCATTCAGGAGATTATGGGCCTCGTTGGCTCGGCCAGCATTTGTTGCCCATCCATAACTGTCCCCGAGAGCAGTGCTTTTTTGAACCAATGCAGTCCTTAGAGTGTTGGTATTCACAGTGCTCTTAGCGAAGAAGTTGTAGAACTTTAACCCAGCTACATAGGAAAAGGAGCAGTGACATCCTCCCAAGTCAGGATGGTGAGTGGCCTGGAGGGGAACTTGCACATTGTAGTACTTACATATGTCTGCTACCCTTATCCTTATATATGGGTTTGGAATTGTGTCATGGGTTTGGAAAGTCCTATCTAAGGACCTTGGTGACTTTCTGCATTGCACCTTTAGGTAGTACACACTGCTGCTACTCTGCTAGTGGTAGAGGAAGTGAATGTTTGTGAATATGCTACCAATCAAGGTAGCTGTTTTATCCTAGGTGAGTCAGACTTCTTGAATGCAGAGGTGTACAAAAGACCAACAAGAATACCTTCAGGGTGACAAACTTCAGTTATATGGATAGATTGAGAAGCTGGGACTTTTTTCCTTACAGAAGAGGAGGAATCATAGAATCCCTGCAGTGCAGAAGCAGGCCCTTCAGCCAATCAAGTCCACACCAACCCTCTGAAGACCATCCCACTCAGACCCATGCCCCTACTCTATCCCCACATTTCCTATGGGGGATCCACCCAAACACACATCCTTGGACACTATGGGCAATTTAGTATGGCCAATCCACCTAACCTGCACATCTTTGGACTGAGAAGAAACCTGAGCACCCAGAGGAAACCACAGACATGGGGAGAATGTGCAAATTCCACACAGTCACCTGAGGGTGGAGTCAAACCCAGGTCCCAGGCGCTGAGGCAGCAGTGCTAACCACTGAGCCACCATGTCGCAAAGGGTGATCCAAGAGAAGTGTTCAAAATAACTATAAAATCTGCATAAAGAGAAACAGTTCCCATTTTCAGAAAGATCAAAAATGAAATGGCTTTGATACAATTTGATTGTTAAAGGAACTAATGCCAATATATTTTTTAAAAGTACAGTGAATGGTTGGGATCTGGAATACGATTAATGTGAAGTCAGCTTAATTTCAAGTTTTCAAAAGGCAGTGGTTAAGTTCTTAAAAAAATATTTGCAGCACGGCCAGAAGAGAGCTGGTTCACAAGACTACTGATTTGGTCTTTCAGAAAGCCAGTACGGGTAATAGGCTAATTGGGTTTTTTTTTGTGCTGTAACCATTCCATGATTCTAAACAGGAACACTAATGCTGGGTACTTTGTTATAGTCTCCCTATTTACTTAGAACTCATGAGATCCTCAAACTCAGTTCACATTAGATTTTTACAATTAGATTTCCAACCCATCAGTATGAACAGGATTTTGATACCAGTTTAGATCCAAGAGGTGAAAGACCAGTAGCTCAGCCCATCCTTTAGTTCATGGTTCAGAGTTTTGAGATACTTTGACTTTCCAACTTATTTTTTGTTGGACTGGGCACTTTCCAGATCTGAAAGTTAGCAGTCTTTAGACCACTTGCAATTTTGCACAATGCACAGCAAACAGATAACTACAGGAGAACTCAAAGTCAGATCAACTTCTACATGAAGTTTACAAGGTATTTACAAGATTAGCATTATCAGCAATCCAAGGCATGAGCTAAAAAAAAAATCTCAAAACCTATTGAGTGAAGATAGATTTGCGTAGAAAGTATTGGAGACCCCCATTAGTAAGCTTCTCAACTAGCAGAAACGGAATGCATTAGACTAGTCTAGCTCAAAATTTGAGCGTGGGATGGAGCTTAAGGCAGAAAAGAAAATCTGTGGGTGGCAATTCAAAGATCAGGATCTTTTCACATTGGAAATGCATACAAGGTAGATTATCTTCAACACCTCTATTGGTGATGAACCACCTGAATCATCTACACAGAGGAAACTTTATTGCAGCCCATTTGTTTATCATAGACAGAAAATCTATTGATGCATGTCTCTGTAATTTGTGGATTCAATACCAATATCTTCAGCTCATAATAGAAAGGTATCACTGGTCACCCAGAATCTAAGACACATTATGGGACAATTACGTAATATAAAGTAAATTCATCATTAGTTACTTCCAGGGAACCCAGCATCTACCTACTTAATTATGTTCTTCCAGTCACATATAACCTAGACATTGAAGGAATAAAAGTCCCCTTGCACTCAATTATTATTAAATTGTTGATGAAAGAAGCCAACCTGGCTACATCAATACAATCAATGGAGACTGCATGTCTGGGAATACAGAGAAGCCTTGCACATTTAAAGAACCCAAACATTCTGAAAAGGGTGCAATGACCCAATTTATAGTTGTTAACCTTTGAAAAAGTAATGAAATATCAAACTCAGCAAACAATGCAATAGGCGACTGGGAAGTGTGCATCAGGGCCAGAGTGGCATCACTTAATTGGTAGACCTTATTGAGGGCAGCTTCAAAAGAAACCAGTAACATTGAAAGTTTAAAACAGCAGTAACTTTTCTGCTGCAGGCAGAGATATTTCAGTCTTTCATGAGTTATGGAGGTTTAACTGAGCTACGGCAAAGTTTCATAATAGCACCTCCAGTGAAGCATAAGGAACAAAGATGAAGCTCCTCAGATGTGACTAAGATGGTGTACTGGATGTCTCATCTTCTGGCTTCTAGCAGGTGAGAATTCTCAAAAAAAAAAAGTAGAGATTGCTGATGAAGAATCACCAGACTTGAAATGTTAACTCTGCTTTCTTCCTAAAGATGCTGCCAGAGCTGCTGAGTTTCTCCAGTAATTTCTAATTTTGTTTCAGATCTCCAGCATCTGCAGTTTTTTTTTTTTTTTTTTTTTAAGAAGAATTCCCATCTATGCAAATGACAAGGCCCTATGATTGTTGCATGAACAGGAAAAAAAAAATGATAACTACAAACTGGGAAAATAAACTTGCTAACTGCAAGACTGCAAATATATCACTATGAATCCCAATTGGGACGATAAGAAAATCATCTTATCACTGCTCCCATTTCCTACTGCAATGTAAGCAAATGACATTGCATTTGAAGAGCAAACATCAGAAAATGTAAGTCAGGGTAACCCTGCATTGAGTACAAATCTTTATTCCATTGAGGTTCATGCATTCTAGTCCCAGGAACTTTCAGCTCAATCCATTTGTCAATATAATGAAATCAGTAGCATTGTCTGATTTACAATTTCAGAAGTGCACTTTGCCACACCCAGACATAAAGTCTTTTCAACAATTAATTTAAACATTTACAGCCATAGATGTTAGATGGTTATCCTGAACGTAATTTTAAGAGTGCAAAAATATTTTAAGATTTTTAAAGTCAATATCTATAGCATAATAGCATAGTGCATACCAGGATTACAGATATATCCACTGCCCTTGGTTGCTAGTTTAATATTCAATGGTATACAATTTCTAAAATGAATAAAATACATGATTTCCAAGTTTTGAACTGAAGCCATAACTATACTGTTAAAAGTAGCAATGGATTTTCCTTTGTTATAAAAAGGTTTAAAGCAAAATCTATTATGTGGATAAATTCTAACCCACCTCAGCTACCTTTATTTCATTACAAGCAACAGAGAGTGCCAATTCCTTTTCCTTTTCAAGTTTCTCAGCTAATCGATTGATATCATTAAGTTCCTTGGAGAGCTCCTGGTTTCTGTTGATCAGTTTCTTCACTTGGTCAGACACATCTTCTTTACTTTGCAACAAGCCATGGATTTGTCTCTCCAAAGTACGATTTGTCTTCTCCAGCTGCTCAACCTGAAAGCATAATTAAGTTAGTTACTTCCTGTTTCTCATGAATTACCTCCCCCCACCTCCAAGATAAATACATGACATGACTTTATACAATGCAACAATTTACTGGTTATAGAAGTTTTTAGTACCTTTAAAGAAGAAATCAGAGTTAACGTTTCAGGTTCAGTCAGGAAGGGTCACTGGACCCAAAATATTAACTCTGATTTCTCTCCACAGATGCTGCCAGACCTGCTGAGCTTTTCCAGCAATCTGTAGTGTTTCTGATTTCCATCATCCACAGTTCTTTTGGTTTTACTTTGTAGTACTTTTGACTACTATCCACTACAGATTCATTCCTACTTGTCCCAACAGGGTAAGGCTATAGACCATAGAATAGGCAGCACAGAAGGCACATCAAGTCTATGCTAACTCTCTGTCAAAAAGGCAACTCAGTTAGTCCCCCTCCCTCAAATCACTGCATTCTCTTTATCCTTCAATTATTTCTCAAATTCTTCTTTGAAGATATTATGGATCAGACCAAACTTCCTCAAAATACAAGACGACAGCCTAAACTCCAATTTTTTTTGAATTTTAAAGGCAAGTGCCAGGCGTTGCATTCCAGATGCAATTTGATTGGTCAAACTACAAGTCTTGAAACAAAACATACTTTATTCATACACTACAGCTATGCTACTAGTGGCATACCTGAGTGGACCTTACTCACACAAGTAAACTTTATTAATGGATTAAAGATATCTAATTAATGCATGGTTAACCTGACTTACATTTTCTGATGTTTGCTCTTCAAATGCAATATTGTCACTTTCATTGCAGTAGCAAATGGTAGCAGCAATAAGCTGATTTCTTTAGCTTCCCAACTCCAATTCATAATTGTATATTTGCAATTTTGCTGTTTGCAAGTTTCTTTTTCCAGTTTAAAGAGACATGGCACTTTCTTCTCAACCAATCCCTGGTCAAGTTGTACATTTTGCAGGTTTTTGCTTCCATTGTAATCTCCTTTTCCAATTCAACAAAACTGATGAGCTTATCCTGTTTTCCCACATCCATCTTCCCAGTGTTTTTTCTAAACTATCAACACTACAACTTCATGTGGCCTACTTTATTACAGTGAAAACACCTGAGCTTTTTTACTTCTTTCCCCTTTGGGTTTCCTTTTCACCTTATGGTAAACTCTCTTTACTATCTTCAATGTTATCTCCTTTTCCTCTACCACCTGAGAATTTCTGTTTTCTCCAATATCTATCCCTCGCAGAGTGAAATCGATGTCCAAAGCCAAACTTTAAATTGGTGTATAAATCAATCATCTGCCATTTATGTTGCTAATCTTGCAGACTCAAGTTTGATATGTTTGTTGAATTAAAATGATAAATTGTTCTTTTTCTCCCCGTGGCAAGTCAGCATGGTACTTAAAAAAGTATTTTACAATGGGATATCATTTTAAAGATGTCAGTTATTTATCAATGAAAGTTGAGCTTATTGAAACATAACATTTTGAGCAGCTTTGACAGGGTAGATGCTGAAAGAAAGTTTTCAATTTCCCCATGAAGGGAAACAAAGGGGGAACAATTTTAAAATAAGGCTTTCCCATTGAGAGGTGGTGATGAGAAGCAATTTCTTCCGAGAACCTTATACAATTAATGGTAGGGCTCTGGGTAGTGTTGTGGAACAGAGAGACCTAGTGGTTCAGGTACTTAATTCTTTGAATTTGCATCACAGGTAGAAGGGGTGGTTAACAAGGTGTTTAGCACACTTGCCTTCATTGGTCAGTGCATTGAGTATAGGACTTGGGACATCATGTTGAGGTTGTAAAGGATGTTGGTGAGGCCTCTTCTGGAGTATTGTATGCAGTTCTGGTTGCCCTGTTATATGAAGGATATTATTATACTGAAGAGGGTGCAGAGAAGATTTACTAGGATGCAGCTGGGGATGGAGGGTTTGAGATATTAAAAAAATAGGCTGGAAAAGGTTGAGGGGTGATCTTTATAGAGGTTTATAAAAATCATGAGGGTTATAGATAAGGTGAATAACAAGGGTCTATTCCTTAGGATGGGTGTGTTCAAAACTAGGGGGTATATTTCTAAGGTGAGAGGAGAAAGACACAAAAAGGACACAAGGGGCAACTTTTTTAAAAAAAAAAGACAGTCTTGGGAATGCCCCCTCATAAGATCGCTGGCTTCATTCATAGGAAAGGCTTCTGTTCAGTCAATGTCCAGGTCATCTGTGATCAGTGAACCTGTATCTTAAAAGTCTGCACCAAGTACCCTGGAAGCTGCCATGATGCTTACATCTTCAATAAATCTCAGATTCCTGCTTACGTTTAAGGGACAGATGCCTCACAAAGATAGCTGCTAGGAGGCGAGGACTATACTTTCCAACCACATCTGATGATTCCTTTAACTAAACCTCTGGCAAAGACAAAGCACAGATACAGTGCAGCCCACTTTGCCAACAGGGCCACAAGGGTCCACAGTTGGACTACAGGTAGCCTGCTCCTTCGTCAAGTGAAGTAGGGTGAAGGAGCTGCACTCTGAAAGCTTGTGATTTCAAATAAACCTTTTCGACTATAACCCGGTGTCATGTGACTTCTGACTGTATCCTTGAGAAGAAGGGGCAGCCGGAGAGACGGCAAAGTTTCTCATCCATTGTTAAATTGCCAGTGATGCTGACGACCAATGGCTACTGCACTGGAGTGAAGGTCTACACGCATCTCCAGATGTCAGTGAACATTCTGCTGGACATGGCTCTTCACTCACAGCCAACAACCTGACCACAGAAGTAGGCAGGTGCATGCATGCCAGAGGCAGCATGGAAGAGATAGCGTTGGTGGATTCTTTCAACTCTCTCCAACAAAATTGCTTGCTGCATTTTAACTAAATTATTAATAGCCAACATCACAGCACTCCTCCTTCCTGGGCTGAACAGACACTTAGTCTCTGATAGTCCTAAATGCCAGAGATCAACGTTATTTCTTCCTTGGCCAGCTGTAGAGATGCGCTGGTGATGTGCTCATTAGAATACAGTCCAGAGTCTAATCTTGATAAAGTATCCTCTGAGGTGAAAGATTCTGAGCTAGTGGAGGGTGCAGGAGACAGCCTTGCTAATGCACCCTCTGAGCGATCAGAGGTTTCTTCCTCATAGGAGGAGGAGAAACTGTTTGCTGGAGGTGCAGTCCCCTTGCAGAAGGATGATACTTGGAAGTTGTGATACCTGCTTGCAAAAGACAATAGAGGGAATGATTTGTGCAATAAGATTGGAAGCTTGAATGTGTTAAGTATATGTTCAAAGTGGTGGCAATAAAAGATCTCTGTAGCTCATCACAATAAATCTTTAACTCTGGAACGCAGACGACTTGGCATCCCCATGTGAGCGGTCTAGAGTTCAAGGATCCAACAATGGGTTGAGGAGAAAAAAACGTCATCCACCTCACCAATTGTCTTGGACATTTCAGCCATATTGTGGACTGTCTTCGTCTGGAATTAGATAAGGACACCAATTGAGTGAGACACAATTATACCTGTAAGTGTTGATGCTACCAGGTGTGAGAAAAGTGATGTGTTCGAACTGAGTGAGAAGGGAGCACAAATTAGGACAACTTGTTGGTTTGGGGAGATAGAGTGGGTGAGAGCCACTGAAGGAAGATGATGTATACAGCTTAAAACCACGTGGTTAAACTCACTACAGTTCATTGAAAAAAAAAGACAGACACTCACTCAATGAAACTCCCTGAAATTAACACATAGCCGAAGTTTAGGAATATTCAGCCCTATGAAAGGAAGGGAGATACAAGAATTATTCCAGAAATAGCTGTACATCAAGGGGAACTACGAAAGCAAGAGGAAAACCTGCTGAAATTACAGTCACGTGGGAAGTGGTACTGGGCAAACTGATGGAGCTGTAGGCTGACAGGTCCCAGATCCAGGGGAGCGAAGTTTAAAATAAATGACGTGAGGTTTTACGGCCTGTGCCAGCTCTTTGAAATAAGTATTCACTTGTCTCAGAGACACAGAGACACACAGAGACACACAGAGACACACAGAGACACACAGA